CTATTCCAAACCATAATCAAGTGACTAATGAGGGAAATGAATGTGTTGCGACAATGTTGTGTGTGTAAAAGACATTCAATTGGTAAGGGTGACTCAACAAGTGCAAATTGTCTCAATCAACATGTATGAGGCCACAATACATCTATTGGTAGAGGAATATATTGTCTAGACATCATGTGAAGAGAACAAAATATCAAATCAAGTCATTGAACCTTTCATTAAGCTCATAGTCCAAGCAATCCATAAGGATGACTTAGTTAAACATGTATTATCTAAACATCATGTGAGAGGCCACAGTTTATCTATTGGGAGAGGAATAAATTGTCTAAACACATGTGAAAGATACAACATATCATAACTAGTCATTAATCCTTCATTAAGCTCACAATCCACATACAACATAATATTAGAGGAATATGCCATTTGGACTCACAAGCATGGAACATCAAACATCAAGAGTAGATTGTCCTCCCATCTAACATTATACTACCACTACACTAAATCTACACTACTAGCATGAAAATAAAGCTATCTAGACTAGGGGAGAGGCACAAGCCATCAAGAATAGGCATAAACCATCAAATGAACCAAAATAGCATTCATTAAGCATATCATCTTGATAATCTCTAGATCTATAGCATCAATACACATAGACATGCATCAAAAACACTAAATCTAGAGATAAGCACATGAATATCCTACTCTAGCATACATAGACATATGGGTAGAATAGAATAGTCAATTGGAAGCATTAAACCATACAAACCATGAAATAATCAAGATTTATATATACATGAATATCAAGATGTATCATACAACACTAATCCCTCAATAATACACAAGATTAGAGTATAGAAAGCATGCTTGGGGCTAACTCTAGCCCCAAGAGGATGTCTAGACACTCATGGTAGTGATGATCCAACCCTCAAGGGCTAACTCCATGGCTGCTCCTTGTTGGTGAAGATCTCCTCCAATGGTGCTCTAGCTTCCCTCCTTCCTCCTCTCCAAGAAGAGCCTCCAAGATGATTTTCAATGTGTGACAAGTGACTCTAGACTCCTCTCCAAAAAGTGTATCATATTCCTTATATAGGTAGGTCAAATACACCCTATGATGAGCTGTGGTCGTGCAAGGCATATTCTCCAATGATTGGGTGAAGGAAGGAATAAATGAGCTGGACTTTAACTTTTTCTCGCTGGAGAAAGTTCGATCGATCGAACCTTAACTTGGATCGATCAAAAATGGGTTCAATCGATCGAACTGAATCTTGGATCGATCGAAGTGGTCTGACTCCTCCGGATAAGGACAAGGCTAAGATATTTCGAAGATATTTATGGGGAAAAGGACAAAAGTGGTTGGTAGGCATACAGCTGTGGATAAGATCAATCATTTGAATAGGACAAAATAGGGTTCGATCGATCGAAGGTGATGTTGGATCGATCGAACTTGGAATTTCAGCAAAGGCCAAGGTTGGATCTATCGAGAAGTACTGTGATCGATCATAGATGTTCGATCGATCGAACTCTAATTTGGATCGATCGAACTTTTCAGCTGCACAACTTTGATTCCTTTTTGCTCCTTGCTTTCTCCACTTTGCTCCCTCCTTTGGTTTATCTCAGGATTACTTCAATTAAGCTCTTATTTGGCTGAGTTAGCTCAATTTTGGGATTAGTGCCTGAAAATATAAATAACACGTAATAAGTCTAAAACGGCAAAGTAAGATAGATAAAGGTACTAGAATGCTTAAGCTTAACGGGTTTAAATGCGCACTTTTCAGTGCTCATCAATACGCTGGACCACCATTTGGCATATGCTCTGGTAACTGAGGATTTTTGGTGGCTTAAGGTTGAAGGAAGCAACGCATCACAACCAGAAGAATAATGAACGGATGAGTTCTAATGTTTTAAAAATTCCTCTAAGGTGCAAGTACGAAAGTCATTTTTTAATTTTCCAGGAATATCTTGATGATACCCAAATTGTCGGCTAAATCTGTGTGGACTATACGGCTCAATGATAAGACGGTCATTTTGGCGCAATGTCAAATAACATGATCGAAGATTGATTAGGGTGTTAAAGTTAGCCTTTGTCATCTCGCCATTATCTACAATAAGTCGCTCTTTTGAAGATCTTTTTGCCATTCGAGTTAAGTTTATTCCTTTACATGATTTGAATAAATTTTGGGCTTCAAAATGGTCAAAGTATCTTGCTCCTCCTTCGCCTGCATATAATGTCATTCTAGGCCAATAGTTGGTATTAGGAATGGTGAAATTAGTTCTGAAATATTCACTCAACCATCCGAATACATAATGAATAGGAAATATCGCAGAACAGCTTCTAGGATCTGGTGAGGAAACAATCTCGTTCAAGCCTCTGTAAATACTGGCCAGAACCGGGATGGAAAGACAAATGTTGCAGCCATCTGCTAACATGCTTGCGACCTTGAAAGTCCCAGGACGAATTATGTTGCCAGGGTGTGCAGGTAAGGCAAATTTGCAGAGCCAACATGCTAAAAAATCAGCTAGATAAGTGGTGTCTCTCGATGTTTCATCTACACCAAGGTTGATAAATACTTCTTTCTCTTTGGTGGACATCGACCGGACAGGAGGGATCATACCAGACGGATTTTGAGTCCTCATAGGGCGGTGAACTTTATTTTTTGTTGATTTCTTTAAAGGTTTGGCATGTCTTGATGCACCTTTAAACCAGAAATTAATCCAGTCAGATATTTTCACATTCTGATCTCCTTTATACTTCTTGGAAAGTCTGTGGAAGGCCAAAAATAGGTGTTGACAACTCAAAGGGATAGAATTTTTGTTGTTGCCAGCTCTTGATAGTTCATCTGCACAAGGAATAACTTCATCATAAATTGTTCCTTGGTGAGGGAGACCACCTAGCATATATAGATCTCGAAGAGAAATTGATAGCTCTCCAATAGAACAATGAAGTGTATTAGTGGCTGGGCACCAACATTCAAGGAATGCTTTGAATACATCTTCATGACGATCATAGGAAAATAGGGAGGCGAATAAAACACCATATAGTTGTTGTTTTGATAGAAAGTCGTGGAAACGCGCCAAGACATCTTCTAACCACTCCCAATATAGTTCGGTGTATAGCAATTCAGCAGGAAGTTTATAGGGAATACTCCATGATATTTCCTTCGCCTGAACATTAAGACCCAATAGTGAAAACTGGTTTTCTTCAACAACTCTCTCATGAAGTGAAGAATTTAGTATCAAGGCTTTAGAGACAATAGATTCTTCATTAATCTGATCAGGACCAAAGTCGATGAGTTCGCATGTGGCAGTGCATGTCCAATGAGATAAACAATGTTTATTGTTAGAATCAGGCACTTGAATAGCATTGCGACCAAAAAGTGAGTCATATACATTTAATGTCGTTCCTTGGACTCGTTGACTATTTTTGCTCTCTAAGATAGTCAGTTTTTTCTTTGCGAAACACTTGAACACCACCATGATGGATACCAAAGCTCAAATCGGTGTTGTCTAGAAGGAGGATTCAATTTCTGCTACGGTTGACACAAATCAAGTTGTTATACCTAATCAAGCCCTACAAAGAAAAAAAAAAAGGGGGTTAGAAAAAATAAATAAATAAAAAAATTTGCTCTAGTATGCGTAAAAAAAAAAAAAATCCAGCGTGCGTGGAGTGAAAAAAAAAAAAAAAAAAAAATGTTCTCCTACATGCGTGAAAAAAAAAAAAAAAAAAATGGAGAAGAGAAGAGAAGAGAAAAAAAAAAAAAAAAAAAAAAAAGAAGAAGAAGAAGAAACACACGTATCAATTATTTGTGATCTGACAAGTCTTCAGAGATTTTTGGAATTGATATCAAACCCTACAATATTGAGGGTATATATAGGCAACAAGATACCTCCAAGTTGTATTGGGATTTGGACAGTTCAATTTAAATAGGAAAGTACAATTAAGATGGAAAGAAAAAAAAAAAACTTCAAGTCCCACTTGGAAAAAGAGACAAGTCTTGTCAAAATTGGGACTTGAAGTGGGGGCAATTTGTAGATACTAAAATTTAGTGGGTTTTGGTTTTAACGAATGGACCCATTAAATATAGGCCTAATGTTTAAATAAATTATTTAATTTACCAGGCTTGGTCCACTTAAATTATTTAATTAGCCCAGCCCAGATAATTAAATGAAACGATAATTATTCCTAATAAAATATATTTTGAATAATTATCTTTAAGGACAATTATCACAATATAACCGGCCCGGCCCAGTTATAGTTTTTTTCCTTATCAGGAGATGACACGTGTCATCATTCTATTAATCCAAGAAGCCTATAAATAGAGGCTTGGAGGAAGAAAAAGGGGAGAGGATTCAGAATTCAGAAGTCTACAAATTCAGACACAAATTCAGAATTCAGAAGTTCAGAGACTCAGAAATCCAAAGATTCAGAATTCAGACACAAATTCAGAATCGAAACCCAAAAGTGAAGAACATTAAGCACATCCAATAATGTGCCGTTCTTCATCAAATTCCACAGTGATTCAAGAACAAGCTCGTGCAGCCCTTGGATCCAACCAACCAAAAATAAGGAGATCGAATCAGAGGACCATTCTTTTTTTGTAAAAGATATTACAAAGGACTGTACTCCACATTCATAAATTAATAAAATTCTATTTTGCTCCATATTTTGTTTCTATTGCAAACTTACAAAATTTGTGTGTACAAACCTACGTATTAAACGCGATTACCATCGGAGGTCACGAATTTAAAATAATCTTGTAACGTGACTTTATTAATTTATGTACGATTTTGGTGGTATCAACACTCAACACTTGCTCCTTCCCTTCTCTTTTACTTTTTTATTTTAAAGGAAAAATCTAATTTAAATGTTACAACATAATATGTTCATAGTTTAGAAAAGTAATTATTCAACACAATGGGACCCACAAAAATACAACATTATGGGTTGAATACTTAAATATAATAATGTCATAAGCATGTCCAACATCCAAGTCCTAGCCGGATCAGAGTGTTGTTATTCACCGATCCGAAGAAGTTATACTCTTTTATGTTAGCCGCCAATTTTAGAACCTTCAAATCAAGTAACCAAGTCTCAAGCCACCACCACCTTCATCAACTGAATCATCAATGCACCTTGATTTACATTCATGTGCCCGTTTACTACAATCCTGCAACACCCACCATTGTATTCGACAAGGGAGACAACTCCACCTCCTATTTCTCAAAAGGGGTGTCCTAGATTCTGTCGTTACAATCGGAAACCGCCTCCTACAAATGTATGCGAGGTGTGGCAACATGAGCGATGCACTGAAACTGTTTGATGATATGACCCAAAGAAATAGTTTTACTTGGAACACGATGATTGAAGGTTACATGAAATCCGGAAACAAGGACGTGTCTTTGGAGTTATTCAATTTCATGCCGCACAAGAATGAATTCTCGTGGAATGTAGTCATTTCGGGGTTCTCGAAGGCCGGTGAGTTGGAGGTTGCTCGGGGCTTGTTCAATGAGATGCCGAGGAAAAATGGGATTGCATGGAATTCAATTATTCATGGGTATGCGAGCAATGGGCATCCAAGAGAAGCTGTGAGGCTGTTTAAGAGTTTGAATTTTGATCCGTATGAATTATCTTGTGCAGATACATTTGTATTGGCGACAGTTGCTGGTGCTTGTGCTGATTTGGGGGCTCTTGATTGGGGGAAGCAAATTCATGGTCGCATCATTACTGTTGAAGTGGGATTTGACTCGGTCTTGGGAAGTTCACTTGTTAACATGTATGGTAAATGCGGTGATCTGGATAGTGCTAACCATGTGTTAAATATGATGCAAGAACCAGATGACTTCTCTTTATCAGCCTTGATATCAGGATATGCAAATTGTGGCAGAATGAGTGATGCAAGAAGAATTTTTGATTTTGTAAGTAATCCATGTGTTGTGTTATGGAACTCCATAATTTCCAGTTACACTGCCAATGACGGAGCAAATGAGGCATTACTTTTGTTCAATAAGATGCAGAAAAATGGAGTTCCGGCAGATGCTTCAACTTTTGCCAGTGTCTTTAGCGCCTGCACTAGCTTAGGGATTTTTGAGAATGTTAAGAAAATGCATGCTTTTACTTTTAAAGTTGGGGTTATTGATGACCTCATTGTTGCTAGTGCTCTTGTTGATACATATTCCAAGTGTGAAAGCCCTTATGAGGCTTGCAAATTATTTGACGAGCTTGAAGTGTATGACACAGTTTTGCTCAATTGTATGATCACTGTGTACTCTAATTGTGGTAGAATTGAAGATGCGAAAAGGATCTTTGAGACTATGCCAACTAAAAGCTTGATCTCTTGGAATTCAATGATAGTTGGTTTCAGTCAAAATGGTTGTCCAATTGATGCACTAGATATTTTCTGCAAGATGAACAAGACAGGATTGGGCATGGACAAATTTGGCCTGGCCAGTGTGATCAGTGCTTGTGCTAGCATTTCTTCACTTGAACTTGGCGAACAGGTATTTGCTCGAGCCATTGGCATCGGCCTGGAACTTGATCAGATCATTTGTACCTCTCTTATTGATTTTTACTGTAAGTGTGGATTTGTTCATAATGGACGCAAACTGTTTGACCAAATGATAAAATCTGATGAAGTTTCGTGGAATTCTATGTTAATGGGCTATGCTACAAATGGTTTTGGTTTTGAAGCACTAAGTCTGTTCAATGAAATGATTTCTGCTGGTGTTGGTCCTACTGGTATCACATTTACAGGGGTTTTATCAGCCTGTGACCATTGTGGACTGGTTGAAGAGGGAAAGAAATGGTTTTATGCGATGAAATGGGACTACCATATTGATCCGGCGATTGAGCACTACTCTTGCATGGTTGATCTCTTTGCTCGTGCTGGCTTCATTGAAGAAGCTTTGAATCTGATTGAAGACATGCCATTTGAGGCAGATGCAAGCATGTGGTCGTCAGTTTTAAGGGGCTGTGTAGCTCATGGAGATAACACTCTTGCAAAGAAAGTGGCAGAGCGAATCACTGGGCTTGATCCCGAGAATGCAGGTGCTTATGTACAATTATCTAGCATATTTGCCGCTTCTGGTGACTGGGAAGGATCAGCTCAAGTCAGGAAGTTGATGAGGGAAAAGAGAATACAGAAGAATCCTGGTCGCAGTTGGGCTGATACTTAAACTGAAAACTCTGATGGTGGCATATTTTCTTGAAGTAAGGTACTCTTTCTTAATTCACAATATTTATATATATATAGTAATTATGGAAGGTTGAAAGCTACTTTTTTGTTCTTCTTCTTCTTTTCTTCTCTTTGGAGAATGACAAACTCGTAGTTTTATTTCCTTTCTACCTCAAATCCCATTACCTAACATATTAGCGTCCTTTCCTGTCCTTGTTTCCAGGTGGTCCCTCTCTTCACCGATCTGAAACAAGTCAATTTTCAAATCTTCAAACCAGTCATTGTCAAGATCATGAGCTATCAGTAGCCATGAACTCAAGTGTCCATTATTCTCAGCCACTAAAAGTATCATGCAGGAGACTTTAATCTTGTTTGGAGGAGACACAACCTTTAAATGCATCCTATTAACCTGAAGCCCATCCCCCAATAAGATTCTCTTCAAGTGAAGACTGTCCTCTTCAAGAATTTTGAGGAAAAAGACTTTGCATTGCTCAATAGTGGTATGTGATAATCTGAAATCAGAACTGAAGCACAGCCAGTTCAAATTGACATCTCTTGTGTTTGCCACTTCATAACCACTTTCTGCAATTACAGTGCAAGGTTTTTCTTGAAAGCAACGCACTTTTATGTCTTCATTCTCATTTTCCAGTGCTCTGGAAGCATGGTTCTAACTGAGCCATGAGTCTCTCCAGACAGGCTGAAGGGCTTGTTGGAGATTGCCCCCAACTCAAGCATATACTCCACAGTTTTGAGGCTGAATTCTGGTAACGTGACACTTCTTGAGAATGGTTGAACCTTTACTACAAAATCGCATTGGATATAACTCGAATGAAGACCTCAATAAGTGTCAAGTAAGCATGAAGTGATCACTGGTAACGTGACACTTCTTGAGAATGGTTGAACCTTTACTACAAAATCGCATTGGATATAACTCGAATGAAGACCTCAATAAGTGTCAAGTAAGCATGAAGTGATCAGCTCCTAGTCTTCACTCGATGTTACCTGGAACAGAGATGATTATGGTACATGGAACATCAACTCAAATATGGTATTTCACTCACTCTACTTGTGGTACGATAAGGGTAGACTTCTAGAATTGACATAGTTGGAAAGCAATGAGATAGTTTTAATCATCAAAATGGTTTTCCTTTTCATATGATTTATAATGAAATTTTTTATTATCCGAGTTATAGATTGTACATTAGTTGAATTCTTTTCATTGGAATGAAAAAAGTAAAAGCATTAAAAAGTCTAGCCTATTTATTTTGAACTCTTAATTTGCTATGGTCCTGCTCTAGTATTCTCATCTTCAAAGGAAATTTAATAAAATAAATAAGAAAGAAATGGTTTTGATCACTAAAGTTGGAATTTGTGATTGAAAGTGTTGGAAATAAATAAGAAAGAAATGGTTTTGATCACTAAAGTTAGCATTTGAGACTGAAAGTGGTTCATTTCTACAATATTTCCATACATGGATCACCTAGTATTGGCATTTTTCTGGGACTATTGCTTTGCTTCTTACAAGGGTATTCTTTGGTAACAACATTGATAGTATATGAAATTTGTGCATAGGACTGAAAGAAGGGGTGCTGAAGAAGTGCAAGCTTTCTTCTCCATATACGTGGGTAGCTGCTTAAGTGCATAACCAGTCATAATGGCGGGGAAGAAAAGAAAGGGTTGGGTCAGATTATTACAGCATTACTTATTTGTAGGCTTGGTTGGGAGACCGTAGAGGAGACGGTGGAATTTGACAAGAATTGAGTCCTGCCCTATCACAAGTGGCAAGTTCTAGGGTGAATCTCCCAGTAGAATACGAGAATGTTCTCGGTGTAGATCTAGAGGAAATGGAATGAAGATGAATCCCCTCAAATGCTTTCTGGGGGGCTTTGTTGGTCCCCTCTTGCCTTCTTAACAGCTGGTCACTCGTGTGGTACTTCATTGTACGATATATATATATAAGATCCATCTGCATAGATATCATAGACCCACTCCCTCGCTTCCTATTCAAATTCTATTTCTCTTTTTTTATTCAGTCAAATGGATAAACATTTATTATGACACCCATCTGAAAAGGGGAAGGAATGGGAAGGATTTGATATGGAGTTTCAGTTTATAAGAAATTGTTTATTAACCATATTTGCCCTATGCTCAGACTGTCCAATCCGACCGTTGTCACACTACAACAAAAGATAGTTCTAGCAGCAAAAATTTAGCACCATTTATGAAAAAATGCTGTTAGAAAATATTTTTTCAACAGTACCATGAGAACTTTTAGAAAATGCTTCATATTTTCTTTTTTATTTTCTCACTCCTCACTCTCTTTCGTAATAAATTTTTCTTTTTATTTTCTTTTCTCACTCCTCACCCCAGTCCTCTTTCTCACTCTTCATCATAAACTTGTCGTTCTCTAACTCTATTCCCAAAATCAATTCATCGCACTCCAAAAGCAACAGCAACTCTTCATGGAGCGATGATGTCTGCGTTTCCAAGTCCCAATCTTCGTGGCCGGGAATCAGACTCCAGCTTCGAGTCGAGAATATCCAGGGTTCTCTCACTCTATCTGATCAGAACTTCTCAATCTAAGAGCGTCGTTTCCATTTTCAATGGAGAGCTTCGATTCTAATTCGGAGAGAAATCCAAACCAAGCTGTTGATTTGATTAATTGGTCTGTCCTATTTGATTTTGGAGCTAAATCGATCTGATTCGCCTGCTTTGTTTCTCTCTGATTCAATCAGTATTGCAGGTAAATTCCGTCTGTATTGCTTTGTTTTTGTTGGATTTCATGCTTTAATTAGGGATTGATTTTAATATTGTAGGAAACCCTAGATTTCTGAGTTTGAAGCTGTTTTTAGAATTCTGATTCGTTCTTTCTCTCTGTATATGTATATGCATAAATATATGTGTGTGTGTCCATAATATCGAAACAGGTAATTCTGATTCGTTCTTTCTTTCTCTATATATGTATCTGCATATATGTGTGTGTGTGTGTCCATAATATAGAAATAGGTATAAACGAAACGAAATTGCGCAATAAAAAAAATTCTAAATCCTAATGTGTGTGTGCACATAAGAGTACAACTGATTAATTTCTTTCCCCTACTAAATCCTTCAACCAAAACAGAGTGTAATATTTTGTCTTTTATTTATTTATTTATTTTAAATTTATGGAAATATTATTATGTAAAATATTGATATCCATCTATAGTTGCCACTTTAAGGAGACATAGCTGCACTCATAAATGTGAAAGAGGACTCCATAATAATAGTGGAATGCTCATGTTGTAGTTAGAAAGTTTAATAGCAAATGCCATTGGATGTGCTGCGTGGATTATTGTTTGAGTAATTGTAGGTGAGAGGATATATGTTGAGAGAAACCAGATTAACAGGACTAGAGGAATTTTCTATTAAATATAATGTAAAATGCCCAATAAAGGTTACTAGGTGTATTTCTTCTCTTCTTCTCCTTCCTTTTATTATTATTATTTTTTTTATTTTACTAAAAAAAAGGTTTTCCTTTTATTGGGGGCAGGGAGGAGGAGGTGGGTAGTGCGGGTTGGAAAAGAAAAAGTAGTTTTACTTAACTTGCAGTGAACAAGTAATACTTATAGAAGGGAAGAAAATCATGGTGAATGATTGATATAACCCTTACATTCTTTGTTGTGCATGCTGGGGATGCATATTTTTAGTAGGCACTTGGGACTCATCCAGTCATCCTTTGCCATGATCCATACCCTTATTTAATGTCATGCCCCAGCTTTGCCTCTTCACACATTTTGATTTGTTTTTGTATTCGAGTTTGGAGAGGTAGATGAAAATGCTCATTTGAATAGAAAATTGTTTGATCCTCTTGGTATTAAAATTAAATGCAGCAAAAGGATCAGTGGGTTTGACACGGTACCTCCTGCTTCTCCAATAACAGCCAGTGCTGTTGCTGCAACAGGTACGTGTTCCATTTTATGTGATTACATTTGTTATATTTTCATGACTGCTACATTTTTTCCCCTGTTTGATCTAGTGTGGAAAGTTTGCATCAAATTGCATGCTGTTGTTTTGGTATAAGCCAAACTTATTTGTTCATTTATTTGCACATAAAACATCTTCTTTTTTTGGCCATTGTCCCAGACGGGCTCTATTATTTTTCTTTTACTTGTTTACTTGGTGCAGTAATTCTGAACTGAGAGAGTTTTGGGTTTTTCTTGTGTTTCGTGTTTGTTTTTGTGTCTATTCTTTGTTGTAGGAAGGCAGTGTTGGGCTACTAGCCCCACTGTGCTGTCAATGGGCATTGCCGGCTTCTGTAGCTTCTGCTACGCTTTAGTTTCACCTGATTGTTATTCTTTGTGGTCTGGCTTTCCTCAAAATGCTTTCAGCTTTGTTAATCTTGTAAGGCCTTTTATGCAGTCTGTGGTGACCTTTTTCAGCCACGTGATGTCTGTAATTGGAGGAAACACTGCTGGTCCGGTTTAGTAGCATTTTTTAGTCTTTCATACCTATGTTACGTTCCTTTTAATTGGATGAACTCCAACTCCTAGGTCTATTCCCTTTTGTAAGATTCAGGGGATTCTGTTGTCAATGTTTATATAAATCATGAGAAGAAGTTTGCGTCTGTGGAGATGAGATCTGTTGAGGAGGCCAGTAATGCCATGGAAGGGTTTGAGGTATTAAAAATGCTACTCTGATTCAATTAGCCTGGAAGGGCTTATAGTTTCTTTAATTTGCCGACTTTTTCATTTAGATAATCTTTTCACTCTCTATTTTACCAGCCAATCTTCTTGCATATATATTGATTTTCCTTGTGTTTTATCTTTCTGTTTTACTGCATTCTGTAGTCCCACATTCTTTTGTACAGAATCAGGACTAACGTACCGACAGAAGACTCCATGACCTTCTAATCTAAGTTAACCTGATTGTTTTTAGTATATTATAAGAAATTTGGAATTAACTTTCACATGTATTTTGCAGCTACTGTAGTGAAGGTTGTTATTCTGCGTCCAAATCCCAACAGCAAACCATCCCCTGAGGTTGGAAAGGTTAGTATAAGCTCTTTGTGCATTCCTCACGCCATGCAACCTTTGTTTCTAGGCCTCTTTAATATTTGTGAAATACCCATGTCAGGCATGACATGGATATCGGTATGTGTCCGTTATAGCACCTTTGTGTCTATCAAAAAGAATGAAGGGACAAATACCTTAGAACTTGAAAGTTCCAAGTGAATCTAGCTACTGTCTAACAGTTAGCTTGTAGGCATTTGTTCCCTAGGGGTGTCTGTCAAAAAGAATGAACGGACAAATACCTTAGAACATGAACGATCTAAATGAATCTTGCTAGCTTCTCTACAACAAAGTTCGAATGATTCAATTTGATTAATTCGTTGCTGCGGACCGCTATATACATGTAATATATATATATATATATATATATATACGGAGTGTAAACTACTCACTCCTAAAATTTCATATAATTCCTATATATATTGCTTCATGTATACATATACTGCTGCTCTTTCTGATGTATAACTTCTTATCCCAGTTTTGTTTAGAATCTGATTTAATCAATCATTGTTCTGCTAGTACAATGTATTTATATTTTCATGAGAGTTTTTAATTTTTACAGGTGTATACATTTGGTCTGACTTTTCGAGCAGATAATTGGGACACTTCTAGTCACTTGACTGAATTTTGGGTACAGTTGATTGTTTAACTATTGAATTGTTTTGATTATCCATTTTTTTTTTTTTTTTGTTTTTGTTTTTGTTTCTAGTAGTTCTTAAATTCAGGGCTTCATGGTTCATGTGAACAAGAATCTAACATTATTTTTACTTTAATCTAAAATGACAGAACCAGAACTTTCATTTGCTTATAAAATTGCTGATTCAATTTCTTTCACTTTTATGAACTTCAAATTTTCACTATGTACTTGTGCTTTCTACCTAATGGAAATCTCTAATAATGCTGAAAAAGGGTCTCAGTCGAAATTCATGTTCAAAGGAAATTTTTATCTTTGTGATGTGGTTGTATGGCCTAAGAAATATGTGAAAATTCTAGAGGTCAATTGGTCATTCACTACCTTTTTTTTTCCCGAAAACTAGTGATTAACGAACAATCTGATTTTTTATATACTTGTTGGCATTACATTTAAGAATATTTTTTTTCTGTGATTCGAGTCTCAACAACATGACAGCTTTGCCCATTTTGTTGGCATTACATTTAAGCAAACTCATTTTGGTTATTATCTCTGACCACCCACCCTCTCTCTCCATTGGCTATTACATATCCCACTAGATTTGAATTGACCAGAGAGAGACTTACTTTTATAATCATCTTGGATTTTCTAGTTAATGAGAAAGTTTGATGAACTCATTTGAGAAGGGTATGTTAATGGGTAGTTTTGAGTTTTAGGAGTCTTATTACACACTGGGTTTTAGGAAGGGTTTAAGGGTCTGTTAAGGGGAGAGAAAGAAGTCAGAGGGAAGGAGATGTGTGAAAAGAAAAGCAAAATAATGGTTTTTTTCTAGTACACACACAGACACACACACACACAGATCCCTATGGAATGCAGGGGTGCTTCCCAGCATTGCTTGCTGGAATTTGTTCTTTTTGTTTAGTTTAAAGGAACCAGCTTTGTTCTCTTCAGTGAGTGAGAGAGAGAGAGAGAGAGAGAGAGAGTGGGGACTCAGAGGAAGGGTTGCATAGATAGGAGAGAGTTTGTTTGGCTCTTGGGATAATATTTCTTGGCTTCATGAGTTGTGCAACTAGACTACAGAAAACCAAGAGGGAGTGGTAGGAAAGAGATTTCTTTTGAAATGATTAGTTTATTTGCTACCCAATGATTGAGTTGCCTGAAACATAGAATATATATTCAACTTAGTTGTGTTGCTAAATTTATCTTTATGATAAAGACCTATTAATATCGGGGACTTATTTGATGCATAATTGTTTGTATTCATTCAAATACTAGTTGTTAGTTTCTAATACGTTAAATATTTTATTTCAGGTTGTACGTAGCGAACGATGGTACTTAGAGGATGACAAGGATGATACATGGGGTCTCTTCTTTTTTTACGATTTGATGCAAATCCTAAGAATTTGAGACATTAAAAATTCTTTTATTTTCTTTGTTATTGAGACATAGTTACACTCATAAATGCATAGTAATTCTTTTCTTTTTTTTTTGTTGACTTTGTTGTGGATTGGGTTTATTTGGTTATTAAATTTGGTTTATGAATGGATTTACCTTGATTATAAAATTTAATTTTTTAAAAAAAATTTGCTTCATTTACATGTATTGTTATGACCATTTAAAATAGTGTCATTTTTCGTAACATTCATATTTGCTACCATATTTTTCTTAGATACAGCAGCAGATACAATTGCTACCATGCTTGTTGCGACACAGGTTATGACAATAAATACAAATTCTTCCTATAAATGTTACTAAGTAGTTATTGCAGCAATTATTTTATTTATTAATTTTTTTTTTCTTTTAACGGCAAATAAAATTTTTGTTAGAGACCATAATTGTTGCAGTGGCCTGTGGTTGCATTTGGACTCTTCCGGTACATTGGAGAAAATTATCAACCAAAATAAAATAAAATAAAATAAAATAAAAAATTTAAAATTACAACATACGGTGATATTCCAATGCCCTCTTTTAAGGTTTGGACAAATTACACGTGGATAGACCGTTAAGTGTTTATTACTTTGACCTCCCTTAAATTCATTCATTAGTTGAAGTGACTTTGAGTATGAAAAGCCAATAATACTTTTATATTAATATATTATATTGTATTTACACAAGGAAATGGTAAAATTATCATTTTATAAAATTTGGTTAATAGACCTATCGGAACGAAAATGTTAAGGGTGGTGTTGAGCACGCACACCAAATCTCAAAGGAGATAAAATGAATAACGGATGAAAGATCTATCCCTGTGTAATTTGTCCAAAAATAAAAGGAGATTAGTCTAATTTACTCCAAAATTATACAATTTTGATTGTCTCAACTTGGTCCTAAATACCAAAGGATCAAATGGCCAAGCGGTATTACCCCTTCCTTTTCAAAGGAGATGTTAGGGGTTCGAACCTCGATGGAAGTAGTGTACGTGCATATTTGCTTTAACTTCAAAAAAAAAAAAAAAAAAAAAAAAAAAAAAAAAAAAAAAAAAAAACCAACAACTTGGTCCTAAATTGTCTATAATTATCTTTGTTTTGGTTATCATGGGATAGGTACTATCCAATTATCCCAACAAGGACATTATGGCACAAGCTCTTATCTAAAGATTGCTGTGTCACTTTTGGCAAATGTACCAGGATAAGCATCAAATGCTGCCAACTTAGGTTGTGCCAAAAGGCATTAGGATAAATTATTACATCAAGCACATTACAAAATACTTAAACCCTAATTTGCCAACCAAATTATAGCTATATTCACCAATATATCTCTTAAATCATACCGATGAAGATCATTTAAGTTAACTATTACTTTCGTCTTATATTAGTTGTCTACTTAAAAAATTCAATTTTTGTGAGTTGAAGTTACTGAAGTAGACATCTAATATGGGATATATGTAGTATATAAGTATATAAAAGGAATACGACTAAAAATGATATCAAATGACTCAAAAATAAAAGTAGTAATGAGTCAAATTTTTTGAAATGAACAATTAATATGAGACGGAAGTAATATATCTTAACCCTACATTTTAAATAGAATAATGATAGGGGAACCAAAAAGGAATCCCCGAATTAATATCGAATTTGGCGTGATTGGTTATTCTTATCATATGTTAAATAATTATTTTTTTGAAACTGTTTAAGTGGATGAGGTGGACAAAAACACGTTAGATTTGGAACTTATTCGGGGTTAATTCTTCAGCCTCCCTATCATTTATCTATGATATTTTACATCACCCAATATTTTAAAATACTTAAAACCACACAATTTAAGAAAATACATCTCAATAATGCTTCTTTTGAAAAATTGTCACTGGCCAATTTTTTAACAATTTAAACGGCCAAGATGATAGCATATGGTTTGTCCAAAACAAATAAAGAAATGTGTACATGTGTTCTTTAAAAATTGAAGAAATTTAAAGCAGCTGAGCTGACACTTCAAAAGGAAGATAAGTCTTGTCTATTGCATCTATCGATGAGAGTGCCACAGGATGCTGTTTCCTTCTATTTTTTAAAAAAATTATTCCTCCTCCTCCATTTTACCATCTGGCGGTGCAGATAAAAATTTTATCTACCCAGAAAAAACGGATGCAATAACAGATCTACACTGACGAATTTTACACATTACAGAACTTTTTATTTATTTATTTTTGTAATAACTTTTTTTTTTTTCTGGGAATGTTAATTTTAAACACTCAAGACTTGCTGCAAATTTTACCTCAATTTTCTCTCCAAATTTGCGTGCAAAGTAAAAACAATATGCCACAGTTTAAAACAGTAACATTAGTTGTTAATAAAAGCTTAGTAAAGATAAAAAGTAATTCACAACAATGCGTTGACATGATAAGGTTCCAAAATTAATCAATTTGTAAGAAGACTCTGTTTGTTTGAGCGTAAAATATATTTCAAAAAATAATTTTTGTGTATTTCTTATGTTTGGCTGTCATAAAATATTTATGAAGAGAAAAAATATTAAAATCTAATAAAAATATTTATTCATCAATTTTCGGCCAATTATTCTACACGCCCTACCTGATGGACTCGACCTCAACCTCGATCTTTGCCAAATACCGAAAAATAAAAAATATTTTATCTAAAAAAAAGAAACAAAAAATTATTTTACGTCGAAACAAACGAAGCGTAGTGACACTACGTGATCGATGGATGCCCAACCAATTATATCTTGTCACATAAAGTATTTTCTTTTAATAAGTCATATCACTTAATGTCAGTATTTTAATTGTGATAACCCTGGATTTTACAAACCTAGTGTATCATGTGATGACCCGAAACGGATCCAAAAATGTAGAAGAAAATATATAAGCAAATCTTTAGAGATGTATGTCACCCCTAAGACACAACAATGGCCTTCCAAGGAGTTTCGAGACTTAATGGAAGCAAAACAGAAACTAGGGTATCAAAACCCTACAAGAGAAGGAGCAAGCTAAAAGGAAGGAAATTGACTTCCAATAAGTCAAATTAGATCAAAAATACCCAAAAATATCCTTTGGTAACTTCACATGAAATCCCAAGGCCAAAAGAAAAGAAAACCCAAAAGAACCCTATCCCGGTTCGAACTAAATTCTGACACCCTCTCACTAAAATAAGGATATCTCGAGTTAGGAGCAAAATTCGAAACTAAAATTGGTACCATTAGAAATATTACTTCGACGCAGTCCGTTTAGACTCAAGAACAGACTAATTTGGAGTTAAAACGAAAGAGTTATGACAGTTTGAAGTTGGAAGGCCAAAACTAAACCTGCAGAAAAAAGTTCTGGAGGACCTGAACCGGTTCAGCACCCCTGAACGGGTTCAACATGGACAGAACATCCATGTTTGACCCAAAAATGTACCTTGAACCAGTTTAGCCCCACTGAACCGGTTCCACCCAACCTGAAGTGGAAAAATAGCAAAAAAACCAGAAAAATGGAACCGACGTGGGATTTTCGAGACCAAGACAACTTTTTTTCAGAAAAATGCCGTAAAGAAACCCCCCCTAAAATCACATTTTCTAAGTGACGAAGTCAAGGCAATAATTTATTTCCCGAAAGAAAACCCCAAAATGCCCTTAAACCAAAATATGTAAGAAAAATATGAAATGAGTCCATAGGAGGCTCATTTCACCAAAGAAGGGGGTTTTCATGAAAATGATCATGTACGTAGACGTAAATTACCTATTAGGAACGCAATGATCCACGGTTTAAAAATACCGCCGATGCAAAATATGACCTATCTAAACTTCAATGCGTGAAAAATGCCCTTAAAAGGTAAAACATGCAACAACCGGACCTAAATGCAATCAAAAGACCATTTGGCCCTTGGCCACACATCATGCATATTAAATGAGTCCTAGTGAATATGCTCGTGCATACTTTGTACCAACTGATTTGAAAATAAACCCTTAAAGCCTCTCATTTTCCTTTTTTTTTTTTTTTTTTTTTTTCCCAAAAATGCAATATATGAAACCAAAATGTAAAAGTGAGAACAAAATGGTGTTTAGCTCTTGGCCACACCTCACAAAAGGTAAATGAATTCCAAAGAACAAATTTCATACACATGCACACTCTGGTGCAAAAATGACATGCTAAAACCATAGATTTTCATATTATTCACATTAAAGGCAAAATTCTACATTTATTACATTCATGTGATTTCAAATAAAGTTTGGTGACGAGGCCGCTTGTATACGCCAAAATAATGTAGTGAATGTGCAGTTCAAGAAAAGCCTTTTAAGTTAAGTTTAAATTTATAAAAACCACTACCACCACTACTACTAACGTAACAAGAGTGAGTAGGGATCGTCCCAAGAGATTATACGTGTTAGAATTTAACTTTAACTCTAATATACCAAATGATTGCAAAGAGAGAGATTGGTTGATTAAACAAAGATGCAAGGAAATTAAAATGCAAGTAAAATAAAACTAAGTTGAGATAGGGATTTAAGAGATGAGAAGTGAGGTCTTGGAGTGCATTGAAATTGCCACCAAGCTTGTTCACCAAACCACACACTTTCAACTAATTTGAGGAAAACATTCTTGTAAACAAAATGCGACTACCAATTGCAATATTAAGCATGGACTATCAAATTCAATAATGTATTATCTACCTAACCAACAAATAAACTAAGTGTAGAACAACTCATCAATTCTAAACTTGACCCATCAAATTAGTTACAATTGTAGCATACATCAATCTAGAGAATCATGGAATATCCAATCAAGTAAAGATTGTCTACCTACCTACAAACATGAATTAAATTGTAGAATAAGCCATCAAGCATAAGAATAATCCATCAAATTAATTGACAAACCTATTTAATAAAAAACATGTCTAGCCATCACTAGATTCTCAATCAACTACACATAGACATGCAATTAATATAGAAAAACTAGTATAGAGATCAATTCCCAAATAATCACACATAAGACAACATGTAATCACAAAGAGAATCAATAGAAAGAATTAAACCATATGAATCATGTGAGGCATAATTCCCAATTTAATCACACATAGACATGTAAATAAACTAGAGAATTAATGGGAAGAATTAAACCATAGAAATTATAGAAATATACCAAGATTCATTAAATTCACAAGGCTAGAATACTAATCACAAGATATTATTCTCCAAAAAGTATGAAAGAGATAGAGGTTTAGATTACAAACTTGAGGCTCATCCAAGCCCCAAGGAAAAGTCTAGCCAATCATGGAGGAGGTGGGTGTGATCTTGGAACCCTCAAGGGCAATCCCTAAACATGGCTCCATCTTCTTCCTCTTCTTCTTTGTTGAATTCTAGAGAGAGAGTGTGTGTAAATCTATAGATGTGTTCTTGGTGCCTCCACTCTTCTCTTTTCTTCTAATTCTAATCTTTAACTTTTTCTAGAGAGAAAATAAAAATTACAATGTAAAAATAAAATGATGAAAAAGTTTCTTTACAAAATGGTTCAATTCCCTTTAAATACAAGGTCCTTTTCTTAGTTACTAAGTCAGAAATACAGCCCAAAAATATATAATCCCGCAACTATATG